TATCTCATTATGGTTCTACCTTATGGGCTGTCACCACAGGAGAAGAATACTTGGTCAAACCAATGCGTGAATTTAAACCAGTCCAGTTGTTCCGGTACTGCCAGTACCAGGGTGGTTAAAGTTAGCCTAGACCAAAAGCCTTTTTTTTTTTTTCAACTTAGCATACATTACACAAACATTTATGTTAATCACTTCTGCTCTAGGTTGAGTATTTACACTCAAACCACACAGATACTTCCACGGCAATGCTGAGATTTTTTTTTCTTGTAGACACAGTTGCTCTGGGCGAAGATTCTGCAAACACGGAACAAAAAGTTGGTCTGCATCCCAAAGGTTTTACGATCTGATCGCAAGTCCAAGAGACAGCCAACTGATAGATGAATAGAGGGAAACAATGACTTAGCGAGTTTTGATCATCCTCGTCTTAACTGCTAAAACTTCCTCTGTGCCAAAAAGTTCTCAGTTTCATTTTGAGGCCTTCCTGTTGGACTTTCTTAACTGAACTGCATCTGGAAGGCTTGTACTGCAGAGTTTGCCCATGTGTTTTTCCCACAAATATGCTTTTTTTTCCTACGTACAATAAAACAACAATTCAGCTCTCTTCTAGCGTGATCCAGAAGACCAGATCCAAACCTCTCTCGGACTGACGAAGGGTCAAGCTGACAGCAGCAGGCTTTGGACCTGGCCCAGGCTGAGGGATAGTCCAGACCGACATGCTAATTTAGGGCCTGATCCTGCAGACTTTGATTACACTGGGATTTTATTACAATGACAGAATTGCACAAGTCAGAGATGGGAAAAATCAATTAGGTCATCTAGTCTATTTGTTGCCAGTGAAGGACTGGTCCCTACTGCACATTTTGTCAATGTTCTGCCATTACATTTTTTTAAATATCTGAAGCATAAAGGCATTATTAAAGATATCGGGACCGGATCTTTAGGAACCAGTTTATTTTTTAAAAAGAACACATTCTCATAGGTTCAAAGTACAAAGGTACTTCATAGGTACAAAGAGTAAAGTATTTCTCATCACTCACTTCTTTTGGTTTATTTAGACCGTGCAATTATAATCTTCTGTTTGTGATATTAACAGCTTTTGAGAATGCTCACGGTGTTACAGAAGATTAACCTCCTAAACTGAACATGGCTAAAGCACAAAGGGGTCATTCTAGGAAACACAGAGAAATGTAACAACTGTCAGTTTTGGAAATGTGGAAAAGAATAGTAATACAGACACATGCACATAACGTACATATGTGTGTGTGTGTGTGTTTTGGGTAATTTCTTATGTATCCGTGCCTCTCTGCATGCCTTGCCCACTCTGCCTGCTTCTTAGTTTGTGCAGAAAAAAAAAAAAAAAAATCTGGGCCAAAGACTGCCATGATTTGGGGTCCTGTGCAGTGCCAAGAACATTGTTGGTGTTTAACAAATAGTAGATGTGTCGGATTGTGCAACCTTTCCTCAGGATGCCGGCTCCAGTCCTCTGACCCTCCTCCCTTCAGTGGACGTTACTGACCCAGCTCTGTGGGGATGGTACCGTGGATTCCTCCTTGGTGGTGAAGTCTGACCTGTGCCATCGACACCCTGAGCAGCATCTGAAAAATAAGGATATTGTCTTGGACACAGTATGCTTCATTTTCAAGTTATGTATCAGAGGTAATCCAAGGCCTTTATTTCTTTACTGTGTCTCCCAAGTTGAAAAGGCAAATTAGTGACCCTTTTGTTCACTTACACAAACTATTTCCAGTCTAGAGAAGAATGACAAAGGGTTAGCATTCAGCTGTCCTGTTCACATGGCTAGTTTTTATGACTAGAGTGCTATTTTGAGCAAGCATAATATCAGCTATTAATTGGGTATTATCATCTTATTTTGGTTCTAATCTGAGCATCCTGAGCCCACCTCCTTTCTCCCCCCGTTTGTTAGCTCTTCAGAAAACTGAAATTAACATTTTCTAGCTATGGAAAGTTGCACAGAGAAACCACCAGGCAGGAACTGCAATAGTGAAACCACCACACACTATTCCTCTCTGATTAATTTCTTTTAAAAACAAAACAAAACAAAGCAAAACAAAAACCCCACCACCTAGCTGATTCGACAGTCTCCTGCTGCTGGCTTTAATGCAGTTCAGTAAAACAGAGGGCTCGGACATCCTTGGACTTTCCGGCAACAATATGGGACCATCAGCCATTCTCCGTCTCCCCACCCTCTGTAATAACCCCCAAAACAGAGGGGCGCACAAAACCACCCTGGGAGCTGTTTCTCATTCACCCGTTTCGCTTGCAAGGAAATACTCGCACCCAGCTCCCCCCAGGCCGGCCCTGCCTGCCGAGGGCTGATGTCAGCCTGAACTTTGCCACCGATATCTCATCGGGATGAGCGACATAAACAGAGAATTGCACGCCAGAGTTGTGCTCTGGAACAAGCTCCTTCCACACATTTCAGCCACATAAATCTTCTCCTTTTATCGCAGAACGGCAGTAACTGTTTATGGGTTCGGCTTGGTGTTGTCATGGGGTGTTTTTTTCCCCTCCCTAACGGAGCTGGCTTGGGGGGGTAACCTGGCTCTCCGGAATCCTCTTGCCCTGCCTCTTTTCACACCCCTTCTCCAGCCAAGGCACCACTTTTCTTTTCTCCCCGGTCTATGCCTCTGCCCCTCTTCCACAGCAAATAAGCCACCTCTCCCCCCCGCCGCTGGCCACTCATGCGTACCCTGCCCTTCTGCTTGGCCCTCGCTCGGCACACACCACGCAAGTTGGTTTTGCTGAGGCTCTTGGGTGACCCGTGCGGTCCCCGGGACTGTCCCCCAACGCATCTGCCCCACGCATCCCCGCTGAGGCAGGGACACATGGAAGGGAAGGGGCCGGAGAGGCAGCGAGCGGAGTTTCTCAGCCGTGCTTTGTCAGGGCACGGAGAGGGAGTGCACTCCCCGTTTGTTTAATGTTTTCCTTATGTTTCTCACTGGGCGTTTATTTTTTGACATGCTTCCTCTGCCCGCTGGTGCTAGGGCTGCTCGAGCGGGCCGGCTGGCTGGCTGCAGGTTGGCTCACACGCGTGTCCCGTCCTTTCTCCACAGCCTTGTTTATTTATGCCACTCTCCCGGCTTGCTCAGAAATTTCTGCACAGGCACTAGCACACGAGGAGTCTCAATCTCCAACAAACCAAACCAAACCAAACAAAACACTGGGGTGAACGCGCCTTCCTCATGTCAGCGTAGCCCCTCAGCTTGTCTGCCGAATGACTTTTATTTTATGCCTCTCTGGCAATCCCACCCCATCCGGCTCAAGTATCCTGGATTAGAAAGACTTTCCCCAGAGTCCTTTTCAAAGGGAGCCTCCCACAGACCTTTAAATCCCCCACATTTTATGGTACAGATATTTAACAGCTCTGAGAGGGGCAGCGGGGGGGAGAGACTGAGGAAAACAGTTACAAATAGAGCGGCTGCTCCTCGCACCACTCAGGTTCCTGGTGCGATCAGCGTCGTTTTATCCGGCTTTCTCCCTCGCGCAGATAGGAAACGAAGCAAGA